AGGTCCAGCCGAGGCCATAACGGCAAAAGCTTGGCAGCAAGTCGACAAACAATTTTACTGATGTTCACGCATCGGGTGACGCGCTCAACCTCATGGGCAGACGGCTGGGGTTTGGGATCGAGCGCCTCGTTGGGCGGCTTGGGCCGCGTAGTTATTCCCAACCCTCAACAGTCGTTCGGGAACGGAAATACCTACCTTCTCCACGTCCTGATGGGCCTTGACCTTGGCCACTTCACGGACGTGTGGGGCATTACTGATATATAAAAAGTGCCCCGCATATCTTCTACGATAAGACAGCCTTTCACTGGGGGGGCAGGCGGAAATGATTGACTACCGCAAGGCAATCATAGAATACTTCAGACTGGGCAACGATATGCAGCGCGGCCATGGCCAGGGTGCTGTATTCTCCAGCTGGCGCAGTCTGACTGACTGGAGCGTGGACTGGGCCATGGAGGGCACACAGGAGGGAGCCCTGGGGGGAGACCATGGAAACACCCCAGCCTGCCCTCGATAATTCAGGGATGGGATGCCAAAAACAACCCCCGTCAACGAACATGCGACCTTGGATGTCTCCGTTTGCGAGCTCCTCCGAGAAGTCCTCATCCTCAGCTGACGGCAGAATGACCCCCCCCCCCCGAACTCAGAGGTTTTGGCCAGAAAGATTCAGGATGCTCGAAAATACCCCGATTGAACAGGATCTGATCACTATTCGATAAACGGTCCCCGAGCCTCCTCAAGGATCTCTGCAGGAATAAGCTCGGCACGAGTTTCCTGGACGGCCGAACAGTCATACAGACGGTGGTGGATGGCACCCCTGCAGAGACCACAAAGCGGGCAGAGCAGCTGGTTCTCCTCCAGTTAGTAGCCTAAGGTAGCCGCACGATCGGCTGTCCATGTGCCAGCGCAGCAAAGGGCCCTGATGGACCCCTTTCCCAAAGCAGTGTACTTATTGGAACGCAGCTGACTCTTGCAAACATCGAAACACGCACGATCCCATCCCACCTCCAGCTTCTTCCCCACATTCTCCTCCGTACCCCTGACTATCTCCCGCCTAAGGATGTCTTTCAAAAGCCTGGGGCTAACAAAGGTAAGAGAGACGGAGGTGCCATCGTGCGACTGCAAAGTGGCGTAGTTGGGCATGGTCCAGCCCAACCGCTGGACAGACAGGAACAGCGCGGTGACGGGGCCTGCGGCAGATCGCCAGGTCTTGGGCTTGAGCTTCCCCTCAAAGACAGAACGCCAACAACATCCAAGATCCTTGTGCGTCATTCCTCCCAGGTGTGGGTGATACTGTGCCGCCCATACCTCCTTCCCCCAGCGAATAATGGGAGCCACAGCACCGTAGTGCGTGGGATCATCTTCACACACAAGGGCAGATGAGAGACTACGGCCACCACCAGGCGGCCGCAGGCACTTGCCTGCTTGGCGGCGAATGTGGCCCAGCTCCGCATCGATAACGCCATGGATCTCGCAGCCGAAATTGATGCCGGCGGGCGCGCCGCCAGTGAAAATCTTCTTCGCTGAACGCCATAAAACTTGTCTTTGTTTGCGGATCCTGCTAACACGCGGATCAAACGTCATGCGCCTCTGCTTGGCCTTCTTACAACGCCCCCTGACCCCCCTGGGCCGCCCAGCGGTGTCGTCGGTCCCCAGGTTGATCGCGAGGTGGTAGTCCCAGGGCCAGCCCAAACTCCCAAGCAATTCTGGAGCTTGGTCCTAGGGCGGCGCTGGCCGCAGATAAGGCTGGTCTTATCAGGGGCGATCTTGCACTTGATGTCCGATTCAGCTGCATTAAACAGTTCAACGGCACCGTGGGTGATGGCATCAAACACCTCCTGGAAACTCCCTTGGGCCGAGAGGCCCAGGTCGTCGATGTGCAGATCAAGGCTGGCGCATGGCTTGAGCTGGACAGAGACAAACGCCTGCATATAATAAACTCTGACGAACCTGGTAGCGATACTACACCCAGCAATAACCCCACGGATGGCCGAAAAAGGGGCCCTGGAGGAAGCCGCTGATGTTGATGTGCATCGATGCCCTATACGCTGAAATGCACACACGACACAACTATCGGAAAACCGAGAACTTCGCATCTGGCCTCAAGATCTTCCAAATCCATGGCTTTGTAAAACTTGTACATGTCCCAGAGAAGCGACGCCGAGCACAACCCGTGTCTTACAGCAGCCTCACTCCTGGCGGCCTGCCTCCAGACGACGTCGGAAGCTGACTTGAAACCGTGCGCTGCGAACATGTCATGCTTGTGATCCTCCTCCCATGACAAAGCCTCCTGCCTCCTGCACTTTCCCCCGCAACCTGTATGGTGACGTGGGGATCCCGATGGGTCTGAGACCTCCTGTGGGTTTGGGCAACATGGCGAGCATCACAAGGCGGAGCTGCTCTGGGAGAGTGGCCATCGTCTCCATGATGGCGAAAAGAAACGAGACCACTGTCAACGCTTGGTCGCACAGCAAAGCGTAGTGCCGAAGGTGAAACCCATCAACCGATACTGCTGACCTGCTGGAATAACCCCTGCTTCTTTCCCTCGAGGCCTCAGGTGGCACTAAAGGCAAATGCTGTGCAGGACGGTAGGGCTTCGGTTCCAGGTAATCAAACAGTTCGGTGTCGGCAATCCAGAGTGCTTGAAAACGCTTACCCTCAGCTCGCAAGAGGGACTGGGGGTCGGATACTACCTGGCCAGCGGCGCTGAGGGTCGAGGAGGGAACCCAGGCTTCTACAGGGCGCGTCCAAAAGTGGGCGTTACGTCCGCCCCCCCTGGTCAATGTCCTTTAGGAGCCACTCCTTCCACGACCTCTCGCCTTGGGTTCGCGCCGTCTTGGCGGCAGTCGGCAGCAGGTCATACAGCTCGACGGAGACATCCCCGATGGCCTCTAAAGTGATCCCCTCCTGTCCTCTGAGCCCGAGGACCCTGGAGTACGCCTTCTGGGTGATACCAGCTCCGAGGTGCTCCTGGATGAGGGAGAGGGTTGCTCCTGGATGGGGATCCCACCAGAACACCTATTATGGGCCGTGCGCCAGGCAGTGGACCAATCTCTGAAACTCTGAGATAGCCAACGACAAACGTAAAGCTCAGGATGCTTCGCAGGTCGTTGGTCGCGCCCTAAGGCTAGGACCCGACAGACTTTGGGGAGCTCACCTCGGCAACCAGTTTTGGGTAATCTCGCCTGCAGCTGGTCAGCCAGCTCGGCCTCGGCGAGGTCAGCCCAACATCTGTAAAGCTCGGGAGGAGGAGGAGGAGGAGGAGGAGGAGGAGGAGGAGGAGGAGGAGGAGGAGGAGGAGGAGGAGGAGGAAGAGGGAGAGGAGGATGGAGGGAGAGGAGGAGGAGGAAGGAGGAGGAAGAGGAAGGAAGAGGAGGAGGAGGAGGCAGGCGGAGGGCGAGGCGGAGGCGGATAATGAGGATGAGATGATGATGATGATGATGATGATGATGATGATGATTGAGGAGGAGGAATGGAGGAGGAGGAGAAGGCGAGGAGGCGGAGCGGAAGGCAGAGGCGAGGCGGAGGCGGATGAAGAGGAGGAGTGATGAAGGCGGATCATGATGGTGGGAGGAGGAGGAGGAAGGCAGTGGCGGCGGCGGAGCGGAAGCGGGGAGGCGGAGGCAGAGGTGGAGGCTGAGGAAGGCGGAAGGGCAGCGGGGCTGAGACCGGCGGCGCGGCGGAGGCGGGAGCGGAGGCGTAGGAGGAGCTGATGCGGAGGAAGAGGCGGATGTGGCGGAAAAGAGGAGGAGGAGAGGAGGAGGAGGAGGGAGGAGGAGGAGGAGGAGGAGGAGGAAGAGGAGGAGGAGGACGTGGTGGTGGTGGTGGCAGTGGTGATGGTGGTGGTGGTGCTGGTGGTGGTGGTGGTGGTCGTGGTGGTGGAGGAGGGGGAAGATGAGGAGGAGGTGGTGGAGGAGGAGGCGAAGGAGTTGTGAAGACTAGAGCTAAATATCATCAAGAAATTGCGAACACTAGTGAGAATACTAGTCAGAATAACACGGAGAAAAGTCGTCATACTAATACTAAGACTAGTATCACGAACAAAACACATACCACTACTTGCAATACTGAAGAAATACGAACATTTTAAATACGAATGCGAAGAATATTAACAATTCTACTACCGAGAGTACGGACAATAATATCATTAGTAATGCCAATGATGCGAAGAGTAATTTCACGAATGAGAAGAATATTCGTACTACTTGTGATACTAATTTTGTCAAAACGGAGGCCAGACTAATAATCTATCACGAATAACAGTAGTATCAATACCACTAGTCATGGTTGTTTTAATCGTGGTCTCAACACTAGTAATGACGTAAACATTATAACAATAAGGCGAAGCTTTATCAGCAAGGCACAAACGAACAATACTATTGCGAACCATAAGGCGAATCATAATAGTAATAAGAGGAGTACTTGACTATTCAGAAGAATATGACGAATACTACAAACAATAACAATCGTAATACTATGGCTAATCATAATAATCGTATGAACAAGAATAATCATACGAGTGGTAGTAATAAGCATAAGGATATGACCAATCATATTACGAGCATTAAGAATACTTTCAATACTACTAATACTGCTATTCATATTGTTACTAACGCGACAAATGATTTCATTCATGTTACTAAGAGCAGCACTAATAATATGAATAGTAAGCAATCGAATAAGGAAGCAGGATTGTGTAACACATAGTACTAGTAAGTAATAAGAATAGAGTAAGTAATAATAATAGAAATCGCAGTAACAACAATACAAACAATATTCTTAATCAACAGAAGAAGAGGAAAAATATACAAGGAGGAGGAGGAGGAGGAGGAGGAGGAGGAGGAGGGGGAGGGAGGGATGAGGATTGGGGGTGTTGGGGGGAGGGGAAAAGAAGGATAGGGCCAGGAGGGGCGGGCGGCGACGGGGCAGGCGGCGGACAGGACGAGGAGCGCGCTCCCAGGAACTTCGAAGGGCGGCAGGGCCCGCAGGGCCGCACGCACCTGATGAGCCCCGCGATGGCCTGCGCCGCGGCCGTCACCGGGAAGCTGAAGGAGCGGCGGGGGGCGGATGCCCTCGGAGGGGGGCCAGTCGAGAACGGCGGACCGACGAACGATGAGCGAAGAAGCCACTCCCTGACGGCACATCGGCAGCCGGATTGAACATGCAAATCACATGCGGGCCGGCATGCAGGACAAACATTTGCACATTGCCTCAAGGGTTTATCGTTGTAGCTTTTCTTTCCAGCGAGTGGCGAGGTGTGGCTGCAAAAGCGAGCGGCGAGAGAGATGGGGGAGGGGAAGGGGAGGCGGGCGAGGGAGGGAGACGGGAAAGGGCGTGGCAACGGCGGACCCCCCTTGCGTCTCTCGCTCTTGTTGGGTCTCCTGTAGGCCAGGTCGCCAGGGCTGGACCCGCCTCGACAGGGTCTGAGCGGACCGGGGCCTGGCTGCAGAGCCGACGTTGTCTCCACCAGCTCTCCTCCTCTGCGGGGCGCGCAGTGGTGGGCGCGGCTCCTGGCCGCCGGGGGGCGCCGGTTGGCGCTGGTTTGGCGCCCTGGCCCTCCCGATATTTGCTCCGATTGGGCGAAAGCCCCGAGGCGGGGCTCTGTCCAGATTAGCCTCCCCCTGGGGTATCAATCTTCGGGGGTTGCAGGCGGCCGATATGATCATGGAAAGAGCGCCAGTGGGGTGGGTGGGTGGGGGCCACGCTTCGGACCCTCCTCTTCCCCCGCTCCAGAGAGGGGAGTGAGGGTACCATCCCCGCATGCCCCTTTTGCGCCGGGAAGTGGGGGATGCTGGGGTTAGGCGTTAGGGTGATGATGTGAATGTATGGGCTTGGAGCGTGGGTAGGAGGGTTAGGGTGCTAGGGTACAGGTGTGCGTGGAAGGGTTATGGTTTTCGGGTAAGGGCTTAAGCATTAGGGTTAGGGTTAGGCTTATGGGTTAGGGTTTGAGAGGTAGGGTTAGGGTGTAAGGCTTAGGGTTAGGGTTAGGGTTAGGGTTAGGGTTAGGGTTAGGATTGGAGTGTTAGGGTTAGGGTTGAGGATGATGGTGTTAGGGTTCGGGTTCGGGTGGCGGTCGGGTTCGTGTGTTAGGGTTAGGGTGTTTGGGTTATTTTTCTCGCTTCGCGGGGTGCACGTCCGGAGAACGTGCAGCACAGTCGTTGTGGCGGCCTCCTGGGAGCTTCTTGGGGGGTCTTTTGGAGGGCTCTTGGGGGCACATTGGAGCTCTTGGAGTGTTTGGGGGCCTTTCAGGGGGCGTCTTGGGCTGTCTTGGGGGGCTCTGGCGCTGTCTGGCTTCTTCGGAGGCCGTCTTGGGGGACTCGGGGCTGCTTGGGCTCTTTTGGGGTGCTCTTGGGCCGTCTTGGGGGCCTCTTGGATCGTCTTGGGGGCCTCTTTTAGCCATTTTGGGTTTTTTTTTGGCAATCGCGGGGGTCTCTTGGAGGTTGGATGGCTCTGGGGCCGTCTAGGGGCTATCTTGAAGGCTGCTTGGGTCGTCATGGGCCCCCGAGAGTCGAAAAAGGCAAGAACGCTAAAAGACATTAAACATTCAACGGGCATCGTTGAGTTTTGGCCTGTGGAGGCGCTCTTGGGGGCACTCTTGGGCTCTCTGGGGCCGTCTTAGGGACATTCTGGGGTGTTTTGGGGGCTACCCGGGCTCAGTGCCGGGGTTAAAAATGCGCGCGGTGGTCGGCAGTGTCTATGCGAGAAGCAGCGCGCAGCTCCAAGCGTGACGAAGCAGACTTGCTCTGCCCCGCTTGCTGGCGGGCAGAGTAGGCGCCGCGCAGCCGATCCTGGCTGGTAATCGCCGCTATGGAAAAGTGTTCGCATGTGGACGGTGTGGGCGTTGGTTGGCGTGACCTGCTCGGCTGCCGCGCGTGCGTGCCGCTCCGTCCTGCCATCCCCGGGGCTTCTGGGCGGCCTCATGGGGGGCTCTTCGGGGCCTATTGAAAGCATCTTGAGGGCCTCTTGGGGCGTCTTTGGGGCCGCTTTGGGGCCTCTTGGGGCTTCTTGTTGACGTCTTGCGCCGTCTTTGGGCGCTCTTGTCCCGTCTGGCCCCTTCGGAGGCCATCTTGAAGGCCTCTCGCGGCCGCCTTGGGGCTCTCTTGGAGTCCTCTTGGGCCGTCTTGGGGGCCCCTTGGGCCGTCCTGTGGGCCTCGTTTGGCCGTCTCGGGTCCTCCTTGGGCCGTCTGAGGGCCCCTACGGGGGCCTCTCGGGCCGTCTTGGGGTCTTTTTGGAGGCTGCTTGGGCCGCCATGGTCTTCTGAGAGCCGAATAAGGCGAGAACGCTAACATCTCTCAGCTACCAATTGAAAATCAATGATTTTCGCTCCTGGAGGCGCTATTTCGAGTCTTTTTGGGGCCCCCATTGGGCCGTCTTGGGGGCCTCACGGGCCCTCTTGAGACCATCCAGGGCCGTCTTGGGGCTGTCTTGGGCCGCCTTGGGGCCATCTTGGGCCATCTTGCGGCCCTCTTGGAGGCCCAAGAGGCTGAAGATAGGTTTTTGTAGGTTTGGAGCCCCAGAATGAGGGCCTCCAGATTTTTGGGTCGGCGGATTGGCGCGACTCCAAGGGGGGGTCAGGTGGGATACATAATTATGTAAACAAAACAATAGGTGGCAATTTTACAACGATAGGATACATGGGATACGTTGCATTATCGCCTCCGCGGAAAACGCTGCCGCTCAGCACGTCACTTCCAGACGTGGATTCCTCTCGTTTCGCGGGGTGCACGTCCGGAGCACGTACAGTCACGTCGTCGCGGAGCCTGTTGAAAGCCTCTTGGGGGCCTCCTGGGGGCCTCCTGGGAGCTTCCTTGGGCCTCTTGGGGACCTCTTTCGGGCCTCTACCCCTCCGTCCTTTTAATACTCCCTCCCCATATTTCCTTCCAGCGCCGGCTCTAATCATTGGCGCCGCTGCGACCAACTTCCACCTGGCTGGCGCTGCGCCGCAGATCGCCCAGGTTGGAAAAATGGCATTGCACTCCAGTCGCTGTGTGGCCTTCGGGGGGGCTTCTTTGGAGCCTTTGGGAGGCTTCTTGAAGACCTCTTGGAGGCCTCTTGGGGGCTTTTTGGGGCCCCTTGGGGGCCTCTTGGGGGCCTCTTGGGGCCTCTTGGGGGCGTCATTGGCCGTATTGGGGCGCTTTTGCAGCGTTTCGCCCCTTCGGAGGCCGTCTTGGGGGCCTTTCGCGGCCGCCTTGGGGCCGTCTTGGGGTCCTCTTGGGCCGTCATAGGGGCCTCTTGGACCGTCTCGGGGGTCTCATTGGGCCGTCTTGGGGTTTTGTTGGGCCGTATTGGTGCCCTCTTGGGAGCTTCTTGGGTTGTTGTGGAGCGATTAAGGAAGCTGCTTGGGCCGCCAAAGCGAGAACGCCAAAAGATTACCAAGCCATAGGGGAATCAATGATTTTGGCTTCTGGAGGCGCAATTGTGGGCGCTCTTGGGGCCCTCTTGGGCTGTCATTGTGGCTTTTTGGGCCCCCTAGGGTCCATCTTGGACCGTCTCGGGGCCGTCTTGGCCCGCACAGAGCCCATCTTGAGCCGTCTTGGCGCCCTCTTGGCCCCCCTAAGAGGCCCAAGAGGTCGAAATCATCGATTTTCTATATGTATTGGTAGGTTTTTGAGCCCTAGGAGAGGGGGGGGGGGGCACTTTGGTCCGCTCCTGTGGCGCAGCTCCCAGGGGGGTTAGGGGGGGAGACATAATAATGTAACACAACACAATCTGTGGCAATTATGCAAACATTGGACACATAGGATCCACTGCGTTACAGCATCCGCGGAAAACGCTGCCGCTCAGCACGTTACCTCCGGACGTGGACTCTTGGGCTTACGCCGCACCGCCGACCCCTGTAGGTCTTTCGGGGTCCTCCTGGCAGCACTTTTGAAACCTTTTGGGGGCCGTTTGAGGGCCTCTTGGGGCCACTGGTGGGCCTCTTGTAGCCTCTTGGGGGCTTCTTGGGGGCCTCGTGGGGCCTCCTGGAGGCTTCTTGGGGCCGAGGACTCGAAATCTCTGTTCGGGTCCCCCGCCTGGGCCTCCTCCTGGAGCCGTCTTGGGGGCCTCTTGGGCCGTCTTGGGGCCCTCTTGGGCCGTCTTGGAGCCTTTTTGGGAGCGTCTTGGGCGGTCTTGGGCCGTCTTGGACGTTGTGAAAGCCCAAGAAGCGACTGACTTAAGGTGAATTATAGGCTAATCAGGAGGCTGAGAGGGATTCGAACCCTCAATATTCGTTTCTTTAGATAAAATAATTGCAGCACAGTCTTCAAAATAACATTTTCCAGTTGCAACATTTAAGCTGTTTTCGTTAAGTAACAAAGTTAAAGTTCTTGGATTTTTTTCTTACATTTTTCTGTCAAAATTAACCCAAACTCAAGACTTAAATCCATTTCCTTGAAAGAATAAATAGTTTCCATGAATGATTTGATAGTCTTAAGTGTCATGTGCTAGAATTATACGTTCCCCCGGGGGAATGGGACGATTTTTGCTTCTGGGGGCCCTCTTGGGGCGCCTCTTGGGGGCCTCTTGGGGCGTCTCGGGGGCCTCTTGGGCCGTCTGGGGGCCACCTTGGGCGTCTTGGAGCGATCCATGGGCGATTCGGGGCCCTCTTGGACCATCTTTGGGCCTCTTGGGGCCCCTCATGGCCGGTCGTGAGGCCCGTGGCGCGTTCAACCGGGGCTGGCCGGACCCCCCCCTCCAAACCGACCGGACCGGGCCCCGGGGGGAGGGGTTTGGGGAGGGGGAAGCATCTCACACGCCGATGACCCCATGGGTTCGGCGGATTGTTAGGATTGGGGTCAGGGCTGTTGTGTTAGTGTTATGGTGTTAGGGTTAATGTGTTCGGGTCAGGTTGTTCGGTGTAGGGTGTTTCAGGTGAGGTAGTTAGTGTTCGGGTGTTTGAAGGTTTGGGTGTCGTGATTACGGTGTCATGGTTCGGGTGTTCAAAGTTAACGCGTTAGGGTTGGGGTGTTATTGTCAGGGTTAGGTGTTAGGTGTTAGGGTAAGTGTATCAGGGTTAGGGTCAGGGTGTTCGGGTGGTGGTGTTAGGGTCAAGGTTCGGCCGGTAGGGTCAGGGGTAGGATGTCTGGGCTCTTGTGTTTGAATATGGGTGTTAGGGTTACGGTCATGGTGTTAGGGTGAAGGTGTTAGGGGCAGGGTCAGGGCGGTAGGATTAGGGGTGGGATGTCAAGGCTGTTGTGTTAGGGTGTTCGGTCTAGGGTTAGGGTGTTAGGGTTCGGGTGTAAGGGTTTTAGTGGTAGAGTATTCGGGTGGTAGGGTGTCAGGCTTCGGGTGTCAAGGCGTTAGGGTGTTAGGGTTTTGGGCCCAGGATTAGGTGTTAGGGTGTTAGGCGAGGGCGTTAGCGTTAGGGTGTTAGGGTGAAGGCGGTAGGGTCATGCGGTGGATTATGGTACTAGCGTCAGGATTTTAGGACTAGTGTGTGAGGATTAGGGTGTAAGTATTAGTGTCAGGGTGTCAGGCTTCGGGTGTGAAGGCGTTAGTGTGTGTTAGGGGTAGGGGTTAGGGCCAGTACTGAGTGTCAGGATGTTAGGGTGAAGGTTTTCGAGTTTGGGGTGCTTAGGGTTCGGGTGTCATGGTTAGGGTGCTAGGGTTAGGGTGCGGGGAGGGTGCTAGGGTTAGGGTGATAGGGTGGTAGGGATAGGGTCCAGGAGCCAAGCCAAAGGGGGGAGAGGGGGGGCCCGATTTTCGAACCGGGGGGTGGGTCCGACCCCCCCCCTTGATAGGGGGTTCGGGGATGACGGATCGGGACGGGGGGGGGATGGGCCCCTGGAAGACGGGCCGGGGAAAGAGAGGGAAGGGTGGGGGTTGGGGAGGGGGGGAGGGTCCCGGACCTCCTCCCCCTTTGGGGCACCTACTGGGGCCCGCCCTCATGGATATGGACATGTTTGGCCCCTCCCCAGGGCTTCAAGATGCCCACAGGTATCCACCGCCCGCCGAGGTCCCCGAAGATCGATCTCCCAGGCGTTGGTTGTGGATCACTCCCCGCAGAGGAAACGCCTTGCTGCCTTCCCCTCTACCTGCACCTCCTCGTCCAGGGTGGGGCGCAGGGGGTCGCGGCGATTCCTCTTCGCGGCCGCGCCTGCTTCCCTGCTTTCTTGCCCCCTTCCCCTCCGCCTCTCCCCCCTTCACCTGCACCTTCTCGTCCAGGGGGGGAGGAGATGGCGGAGGAGGGGGGGGAGGAGGAGGAGGAGGAGGAGGAGGAGGAGGAGGAGGAGGAGGAGGAGGAGGAGGAGGAGGAGGAGGAGGAGGAGGAGGAGGAGGAGGAGGGCCAGTGCAAACCCAAGAATCATCAACGATGTTGGAATGAACCCTCCCTCCAAGGTCCCTCTTCATAGGCCCCTACAACGGTTCATTTCCATAGAGGAAGCTGCCTCGTTGGAAGACAACCGTTTGAAGATCTTGAAGCGTGCCAAAACACTATTCTCGGGATTTCCACGCCACGGATCAACCTGACTGCTGCATCTTGACAATCCTGAATCGTGCCAGAACGCCATTCCTGGGACTTCGACATCGCGACTCAACATAACTGTCGCGCCCGCGTAATCATGAACCATTTTAAAACGACTTTGTGGTTGATTATGGGAACCCGTGAAACTTTTGCACATGTTGAAAACGGATGTACGCGGCGACAAGGCGAGAGCCACATTTTGAAAACGACCTGCCCTCAATCCGTGAAGTTCTTGCAAATATTGAAAGCGAATGTGCGCGGCGCTAGGGCGAGAGCCACATATTGAAACCGATCCGACCTCAAACCGTGAAGTTCCTGCAGTTTTTGAAAACGATTGTGCGCGGCGCCAAGGCGAGAACCACATTTTGAAAACGATCCGCCCTCAATCCGTGACGCTCCTGCAAATTTTGAAGACGAATGTGCGCGGCGCTAAGGCGAGAGCCACATTTTGAAAACGATCCGCCCTCAATCCGTGAAGTTCCTGCAGTTTTTGAAAACGAATGTGCCTGGCGCTAAGGCGAGAGCCACATTTTGAAAACGATCCGCCCTCCATCCGTGACGCTCCTGGAAATTTTGAAAACGAATGTGCGCGGCGCTAAGGCGAGAGCCCTCAATCCGTGAAACGGTTGCCATTATTTACGCTTCAGAGTCATACATGGTGAGGAAGTCTCAGACGAAACGCCTGGCCCGCTCTAAAAACTGGCCGCGGGGTGCGACATGGAGAAGTCATTTATAAAGAAAAGGAATGGCGGAGGAAGAGGAGGAGGACGAGAAGGAGGAGGAGGAGGAGGAGGAGGAGGAGGAGGAGGAGGAATAGGAGGATGAGGAGGAGAGAGGAGA